CAGAGTTTATATACAACAACTCAAAGCATGTCAGCACAGATAAAATTCTCTTTGAGATACTTACTGAAACTCATCTGTAGATAATCTTGATAAACCTGTGAGAGTACACTATAGAGTGTGATGATATCTGTAGACAGACTGAGAGAATTCAGAAGATCTGAAAGAAAGCTCATAAATTCTTGAGAAAGACTTAAGAGTATTAGAAGAGATACTATAACTTTAAGTATATTATAAAAAGTTTCAAGAAAGATAATAGAGTCTGACTGAGTCTAGAAAATATTATCATGCAGAGATCTAGTAAGAAGCTGAATCTCTTATAAATAGAGTCTTATAAGATTATGAAGAAAGTTAGCTTATAGTTCTATGAATTGAAACTGTTATCTGAGTTACAGATATATAATATTTTTCATGTCTCTTTACTCTGTGAATATAAGAAATTCTTAGAAGAGAACTCTGTGACTTATCACTCTGTCTATAAAGTACTAGAGAATGAAAGAGAATATCAGATCAAAGAAATTGTTGACTCAGAGAAGTGAGATTATAAGCTCTGATTCAAGATTCAGTGATAAGAATATTCTGATAAGATGAATAAGTTCACTTGAGAATTATCTAAGCAGATAAGATATCTGCAGAAGCTGAGATATGACTTTCATACTGTGAATTCTGATAAGTCAGAATGATATGATCTTTGCTAAGAATCTGATTGTGATAAAGATATTAACACTGTTATTTATGAGTTCTAGTCTATAAGATGATGAGTTTCTACTGAGATAAACAGTCTGCAGTGTACATAAGAAAAGAAGAAATCATACTCTTATTAAAGTTAAAAAACAAGAAAATAAATAGAGCTATGAACATAATTTAGAGATTAATAAAGAAAAAATAAAGAAAACTCACACTCACACTCTTAATATCTGTGATACTTAATCTTCTCACAACTATCAATTTTCTTCTTTAAAGAAGCAGAGAGCATTATATCTGTGATACAGATAATTATTACATTTAATATGAAGACTGTCAGAAATGCACAGACTTCAGAGAAGCTGAACATCAGAGCATGTACAGTTGTAGCAGAGTCTTAAGAACTGACTGTCTGTGCATGTGATCAGATATCTCTTATGAAGCTGTATTCACTTCCTCAGTTATGCTGAAGTATTCAGTCTGAAAATAATTGAGATATAGAGAGAGAGCTCATCTGTTCAGATCAACTTCTGTCATGAATTCATGGCATTTGCATTGTCTTGATTACCTGGATTTTATGAGTACTCAGAGACTTATCTCTCATTGATAATGAGATTGCAGAAATGCACTGCAGTGTGAGAATCATTGATGAGAAACCTAGACATATTCACATATGCCTGGTCAGAGATTGTGCAGGCAGAGAGAAGATGATCATAGGCTCACAGAGCTGCAGAAGACACTGGCAACACTGAGAGCTTTGTAAGAACTGTTAGCTAGAATCTGTAAGGAATTACTTATAAGAAGACTTACAGCAAAGAGAGAGACTGCACTGCTTAGAGCCAGGAACTGGCCTGGAAAAGGCATGAGGTTGACTGCTGACCTGAAGATCAGATGCAGTGACAGGTAGACTGACCGTGTGACCGTGTCTGGGACCAGGACCAGATTTTTTGATAGTCTCATTACCAATTCGACTGATCCCATTACACAGTTTTAACATTAGATAGTAGTCTCATACTGTCTCAGTGAGACTTACTGTCTACTCTTGTCACATTTTCCAAATGAGGCCATGATTTCCACTTCTCAATTTAAATTATTTTTATCACTTTAAATGACTTTAAATCTCATTTGAGTGTTACCAAAAAGTGTTACTTTTTAAAAAATTAAAAATAGTCTAAAAAAAACCTTAAAATGTCTAAAAATAGTAACTTTATACCAAGAATGAGACTAAATGAGACCAAATGGAATCACTTTCTCATTTTTTTCAAGTCATGGTTCCATTTTAAGATCTGATATATAGTCACTTTACATGTTTTTTTGATAGCCAGTCCCAGCGGGATTCACGCCAAGAAATGTATGAGACCAGACCAAATGGGACCAAATGTGAAATTCATGGTCCCGGCGGCCAGTCTAGTGACAGGACTGAGAGAGATGAAGACATAATTGTAAGCAGCAGTGTTCCTGCTTCATCAGCTGATAAAAAGTGATCAGAGAAGTTGTAGAGATATTCACAAGAAGCTCAGCAGCAGTCAGACATTATTTATAAAGATATTGAAATTGAAAAATTTTTATTCATAAGAAGTTCTTGAATCAATATGCAGACATTGTCAGAAACACTCTCTCTCTGTTATCTGAGTGAAAATACTTCACAGATGAATGAGAATACTCATAGTTTATAAGAATGAAAGCTGTTACAGAAAAAGAGAAAAGAAGATAAGATTTCACAGACAGATCTGAAATATTTATACTACTTTAGAGAGATTTATTTACACTATGAGTGATTTCACAGAACAGTCAGATCACTCTAGTAAATAAGAGTGATTGTGAAATACAGGTCTGAATCTTTCTATATAACTATAAAGAGTGATTGCAGACTGTAGATATCTTGATTCTATAATTCTACAGAGTGAATAAAAGAATGAAAAATTCCTCACAATTCTACAGTGTCAAAGAACAATGATTTACAAGAATAAGTGAAAGATCAACTCATGAATACTTCTCTTTGATAGAGATGATCTCATTGAGAGTGATTCATCTGTAAGATGAATCTGTGTGATGATCACACAAGAATCTTATGAAAATAGTTGAGAGTCAATTGAAACTCTTCTATATAAAAGATGCAAGATGAATCTGTATAATAGTCAGAGAAGAATCTGTAGATTACAAAGAATCTTGTGAAACAAGAAACTGAGTGACAGACTCTTTTCTCTTTGTGATAACAAGGGATTTTTCCTCACTGAGGTTTTTTATAGATGTGAAGAGTTTTTAGTAAGTATCACTGCAGTGCTGAGCTGATTCTATGAAGTCACTCAGTAAAAGGCTTTGCAGATGAAGTCTTAGAGAGGGAAGAATATGTAAGAAATCCTGCTTCTCACAGATTCTTTATCTCTATTTCTATCTCTTGTGTAATCAATAGAGCTAGCAGCCCTTGGCTATACACAACTATATAGACTGGAGTTTGTGAATACTATTCACAACTCAGCTTGAATGCTATTATACATTTGATCTCTACATTTTATCTTTCTACTATGAATACTTCTAGTAGTTAACAGTATATATCACATCAAGCTGCAAACACCCGAATAATCGCCTGCGAGCACTTATTCTTACATCAGGTCATAATGATCAACACAGTCTCAGTACACAGAGCTGTATACACACAGCACATGCTGAACTGAGAGACTGTGTGAATTGCAAATCAGTGACAGCATTTCAGAAAGAGTCATACAGTGTGAAAAAGCTGCAACTCTCAGTCATATACACAGAGAGTGAATTATTACAGGAAGTGCATGTATATTATATGAAAGTAACACTTTTTGATAACACTCAGTCTCTGATATTATGAAAATAGAGTCTCTTCATGAGATCTGTTTTTATCAGAAGTTAGAGAATCTTATATTTCTCAAGATTATCTTCACATACCTTGTCTGTGAAATCAATGAGAGAAATCATCAATTTCAGTATTCTATTCTTGATATTATTCAAGTGACAGCAGAGTTCACTCTGATCACACTTTTTAAATGTATATTTTCTAAATATTCACATTTATACAGATATATACTGATTATTTATTAGATAATATTAAGATAATGACTTATCACAGCTGTGTTATTCTCACTGTGAGAGATACACAGTTGATAATGAATATTATAAAGACTTTGAAAAGTAAGTATTTTAAAAGTGCTGCAGCTCTGCAATCTTGATTTTTTTATTTTTATTTTTTATTTTTTTCTTTTTCTTTTCTTTTTTTTTTCTTTCTCTTTTTTTTTTTTTCATTTTGATTTTTTCTTGTTTTTATTTTGTTTTTTGTTTTTTGTTTTTTTTTATATTTTATATTTTTTTTATAATTAAAATTATATGAATTATGATCTGTGTTCAGAAAAGTAATAATATTTAGTAACACTCTCTGTTGAATTTTCAACAAATGAGTACTATATTATGATATTATGTAAGTGAGAAGTGATTTTATAATCTCATTTAATACCATTCTCAATAATGAGATTAGAATGAAAATGTGACTAAGAATTCAAATATATTCTTTATCTGAGACTAGATTTTTACTTGAAAAGTGAATCCGAGACCTTTAATATTTGAAATAACATGATTTGAAATCAATGTGGTGAACACAAACCATGATCAGAAGTAATGCTTTTAGATAACATGACAACTGTAAAGTTTGATCCTGGTTCCAGACACGGTCACACGGTCAGTCTAAACTAGAGTCAGCTATTTTCTCAAGTTCAATTAAAACTGCTACAGAGTCTAATTCAGTCAATCACTTGATCATTTAAAATATATATTCCTACTTAAAGAATGAATATTTTAAGCTCTTTTTCAATCTCGTAAAAAATAATTATCATTCTGAATGCTGAGGAGAAGCTACTGAAGTGATTCTTGTAAAATCTAATAGAAAAGCTTTAATTTCTAAGTTATATAGAGTAATATCTCTATTTAACTGTCTGAGAAAGATTTTAGAGAAGATAATAGCTACTGAACTATCTTTTATAAGCTCTATTAGTAATTCTCTTCTATTTAATGAATAAATAAGAGATAGAAAACAATGTTCTGTAATTAACACTATTCTTTCAGTTGTTTATAACATTTAAATGACAAAGTATGAAGATCTGATCTCAACTGCAGTTTTTATTGATATAAAAGATGCATTTGATTATGTTTTAAGATCAAAGATAATTCAAACTTTGAAGATATTAAAATTATCACTTTTTTTAATAAAATGAGTTAACTGTTTTATATTCAATTATATAATTATTCTTTGATGAAATGAAATAAGATAAGACTGAGATAAAAATAGAAGTACTGTAAGAATCATTAATCTCATCTGGTTTATTTACAATATATACTGCATATTCATTCAAGAATAGAGAGATGAAAATAGTGAGATATTCAAGCTATGTTAATGATATTAATCTAGTCTACAGTTCAAAAATGATCAAAAAGAATTTAGAAGTAATTGAAAAAGCAGTAAAGAAAATCTTTATTAGAGCAGATATCAATTAAATTTAATTTAATATGAATAAAACTGAGTTAATTCATTTCTTTTCTACATTCAATAAGAAAAAATTACATCTAACTCTTTTGAATAAAGAGATTAAACCCAGTTTGAATGTCAAATAATTAGAAGTATGGTTAAACTCTAAGTTGAATTTTAAATATCATATTCAACAAAGAATTATTAAGGCAGAAACACTATTGAATAGCATAATCAGACTATCAAATACAGAGAGAGATCTATTCTTCCAGACTATGAGACAGTTATACATAGTCTATACCATCTCAGTAGCTAATTATGAAGTTCAAGTTTGATGAAATGATCAAGAAAGTTTCACTGAACTATTTCAAAGTGTGTAAAACAGAGTTTTAAGAAGAATTCTGAGAGTATTTAAATCATCTTCTATTAAAGCAATGGAAATTGAAGCTTCAATTCCTTCTTCTGCTATTAGATTTAAAAAGATCTGTATAAACTATACTCTGAGAGTTATAAAGATAAGCTTAAATTATATAATCAGATAAAGAGTCTCTTCTTCATTTTCATCAATTAACTCTGAAAATAAACTGAATTGAAATAGATTTCTTGATTGAAATGAAAATAATTCTTCAAAGAAAATACTCTCTTAATAATACAGACTATATTCACTGACTAAAAATTAATTTTCTTCATTAAATGTTTGAGAAAATTAATCATGAGAAGATATCTCTCTGAAGAGAAAAGCTGAAATCTCTCATAGACTTGCAAATAAGTGAACTATCTAAAGAGAGAGAATATGAACAGTATTTGAAGAAGATCTCTATAATCAATGTAAAAGACTCTATTCTGATTTACTCAGATGACTCAAAAAATAGAAATTTAAATAGATTAGATGCAGGCATTGCTTATACTTAAGATAATATCAATTTTATCTTAGATATCTGAAATTTAGGCTGTGAATCTGAAGTTATTATTATTATTATTCTTCAATTATAGATGTATGCAGTCAGAGACTATGATATCTACCTGAGAACTGTTAGTTCTTAGGGTTTTTCTAATATCTATAGAGTTACCTATTATACATTTATCAGTTTCAGATATACAAAATCAGAAAATTCCAGCTCAGAATATAAAAACTCTTTAAAAATTGCAGTATTTTAACATCTTCTGATACTTTGAAATTATTTAAAAAGATCATGATAAAAGAAAAGAGAACAAAGTCTTAAAGATAGATACATTAAATAAGTAGATAGAAAAGAACATAAAAGAAAAAGTAAAGTAAAGAGAGACTATAATAAAACAACATTATTAAAAGATAGTATATAGCTGTTTTAACAGACTATATCTGATCAATTTTCATCTCTTCATAGTCAGATATTTCTGAATTCAGTCATTTTCTTATAGCTGCTTGAGTTCCTGAAAGAAAGGCTATTAAGTATTTAATTCCTGTCTCAGTTGAGAATAAAAATCTTATATTTAATTGATTTAAATCATACTTCTCTTTCAATCTGGCTCTGAGACTATTGTATAATGTATAGTGTATTATGCTATACTCAGAATTTTCATTTGTATTGCAGAATGAGCA